CTAGTCCAACCCTCTGCTCAAGCAGGAGACCCTATACCATTTCTGACAAGTGGCTGTCCAGTCTCTCCTTGAAAGCCTCCAGTGATGAAGCTCCCACAACTTCCAAAGGCAAGTCATTCCACTGGTTAATTGTTCCCAGAATCAGGAAGTTTCTCCTGAGTTCTGGGTTGAATCTGTCCTTGACAATGGGAACAGAGGTGGCATTCAGCAGGTTCTGACCAGTTCTGGAGAACTGGTAGCGGAAATTTTGAGTAGTTCGGAGAACTGGCCAATCCCACCTCTGACTGGCCCCACCAACTCCATCTATTCTCTGCCTCCCATTGAGTCCCAGCTGATTGGCTGAGTCTTCTTTTGTTGCCCTGCACAGGAGAACGGAGCTGGAAAGCAGGTTAGCGGGGTGGGGAGGGAAGGGGGATTTTGCAGTATCCTTCCCTTGCCACGCCCACCAAGCCACACCCACTAAGCCATGCCCCACAGAACTGGTAGTAAAATTTTTTGAATCTCACCACTGAACGTAATCCACCTTGCCACCTTATGAACTACCAGGAACCAGAACCAGGGGCCCTCTGCATGTGCACAGTTTTGGAATCCAATTCCTACTCGGATTATGATAGCCTGAAGGGGAATGTGAGTCATAACCTACAGCAGAAGTATCCAACTTTTGGGGGCAGAAGCAACACCTGGCCTTTGAACAGCACACCCTGAGTAGCTTTCCATAAACCCAAGGGGGCCCCAATAGGGTGGAACCATCCACCTCCTCCATGGAACCTAAATTTAAGTAGACCCAAATATTACCCAATCAATATTTCAGCTCTTTTGTGGTGCATGCAACTATAGGCAAACCTCAATGTACGACAATTGAGGCCAAAATTTCTGTGGTTAAGGGAGAAATTGGTTGAGTTTTGCCCCCTTTTACAACTTTTCCTGCCACATTTGTTAAATCACTGCGGTTGTTAAATGAGTAACACAGTTGTTAAGTGAATCTGGCTTCCCCATTGACTCTGCTTGTCAGAATGTCACAAAAGGGGATCACAAGACACTGCAATCGGCATAAATGTGAGTCAGTTGTTAAGCATCCAAATATAAATCACGTGACCATGGGGATGCTGCTATGATCCTAAGTGTGAAAAAATGGTCCTAAGTCAGTCACTTTTTTCAGTGCCGTAATTTCGAACGGTCACTAAATAAGTTGAGGACTACCTGTATCTTTTTTTCTCTTGGTTGCATTCAGCAGTGGGAGTCGGAAACAACCTAGGAAAGGTGCCTTGAGGATAAAGCCAAGCCTTGCATGAGAAAAGCAGCCTGGGAAATACAGTTTCTTCCCTAGAGAGCAGGGGTCTCCAACCTTGGCAACTTTAAGCCTGGTGGACTTCAACTCCCAGAATTCCCCAACCAAGCTTTGCTGGCTGGGGAATTCTGGGAGTGGACATCTGCCAGACTTAAAAGTAGCCAAGGTTGGAGACCCCTGTTAGAGAGCAAATGAAATGGCAACATTGACCACTTTGATTAAAGAAAAGAACACAAGTGTTTTTGTTTCCACATGGAAACCGTTTCTGGACTTCGTGTTTGATGTGGAAACGAATGAAACTCTCTTTGGGTTTTACAGATTAGACTGATACTCGCATCATCATGTGACTTATCATGACTCCCCCCCCTTCGCTAAACTGGGTGTCGGCATGGCCAGCACATGACGCATCCAGCCTATGGGACAGGAGTTTGACAATGCCTCCCCCAACCTTTTTGGCATCAGGGACCGGTTCCTTGGAGAGGGGTTTCTCTGCGGACCGGAGGGGGGGTGTGGATTCAGGTGCTGCCTGCATCCCGCAGATGGGTCTTTCCTTGTTTGCACAAACCGGGTTCTGGCTTGTTGCGGCCTGGTGCCAGTTCATAGACCAGGGTTTGGGGACTCCTGTTATAAACCACCAACACTGCTGTAGACGTATTCCAAATCAAGGGATCTAGTTTATGCTCAGCTCTGTCCCTCAATCTTACGGACAAACGAACAACTTTTCCTTTCAGAGCTGCCTTCATTCCTTCACTCATTTCTATGCTTCACTTAAGAGGCCAGTGTGCCATGTATTACGGGGGAGGGGAGCTTGGGGGGGGTGGACTTAGAGGGGGAATGTGCAAGACATGGGAAACCAAAAGCGATAGTTGGGCTGTTCTCAAGGGCATCTCAAGGCCTTGATCCTGAGAATGGAATGCAGCACCTCTTTATCTACCAACCAAAACATGGACCGTTAGCAAAACATCTTCTCTAAATGTGACTGGACAATGGGAAGACAACGAGGGGGAAGAGGGAAGTTTAACCTAGTGCTTTTCGCACTCAAACTTCAGTTCTGACTTCACATTACTATAACCGCTTGGCTTTTAGTAAATGTAACCTTTTTGCCTCAAATGAACTCGTGTGGTTCTTTCCTAAGGGGCCAAGTTTGCACCAGGTTTCACATTTCCACTCAATTTTGTTCATAATTCCAAATATTGGTGACCAGACCAGCATGACTCATCCCTGCTGTCTTAACAGTGTGCTGGGATACCCAATGCAGGTGTTACAAACAAACACAGAAAAACAGAAGAAAAGGAACTCGGGCTTTATGAACAACGCAAGTGGGGTACAGAGCCCTCTCCTCTTTTCTAACACTAGGAATTTACACTTTATTATGCGCTCAAATTATGCAAAGTAGATAGTTATACAAAGAATTAATTAATTTGGTCCCCACCCATACCCCAACCCAAACCCTGGGAATTTTAGTCCGGAGCAGATGCCAAACTTGAATGGAGTACTTTGCCAGCAGCTCCACATTACTTTTATTACAAAATGAGAGGCCTGCTCAATTTAACGAGGTTGATGTCTGAATTAACATGCACAAAGTCAATTACTGCACCAGATGGAAACTCCTTGCAGGGAATGGAGCATTATGGAATAAGATACTTTGGTTATCCTTCAGCAAAGGAATTTCCGTAAAATCCCAGAAAACATTAAAGAAATTATGTTTGAAGAGAATTAAAATTAGTTGGTTTTGATCTGTCTTCACAGGAGCTCAGTTTTGGGGTGAGGTTCCGTCTATCTGTCCACAACAAACAAATATACATTATTTTGATAACATGTAAGACATGGGACAAAGTTATTTACCCTAAATGACAGGGCTTCCGTATGGAATGGGGAAGGTGGGGGGAAAGCAAAACTTGTTAAGGAGTAACTTGAGTATTGTTAAAGCATTTCAGTCTGTGGTCCCAAACTAAGAGAAAAAAAACGCATCACAAACTAGCCCATAAAATGAGATGAGTAACTTCCCATTCATGTCATTAGATAATTAGGGGAAAAGTGCAAGACAAAAAGACAAAAACTCTGGCTGAGTTTTCATTCCTGAAATAAATAACAAACAAGAGTTCACTACGGATATTGGACCAAAAGTGATTTCAAACATGCACCGCTGCATTCTAGCCCACCATTCTCCTTTCCATAATGACCGTGGCAATTAAATGCTACCTTAAAAGGAGAGAGAGCATTAGTTAATAATACCTATTATTTCAAGAGGCCTGTTAATAAATTACAACTAGACATAAGGAGAAAACAACTATTTTGACAAATTTCTGTGCATGGGAGAAGAGGAACACAATTAAAGAGGGCAAGAGGGCAGATTAAACAGCTGGTGAAGTACACATTTTGTAGGTTCCAATAATGTGTGCACACATTATTTTATAACCCCTCCAAGCGATCACAGCACTAACGTCCACTGGTGTTAGTTTCATCAGTGGGTCATAAACAGAAGACAGAAGACCCACTAATCTGCAAGTACAATTTTAACTCCACCTTCCACCTCTCAAGAAGTTTAACTTTTATCAACTTTTATCAGAAAGTGGAAAAGGAGGATACAGCCAATTTAAGGTCCATATTAGAGAGAGGGGGACAGAAAAGTGCCATGTTTTGTTTTAGTGCCCACCACTTCTTCCCTCAAATGAACTTTTCCAGTTTGCACTTTTCCTCCAGCAGCAGTTTGGATGGGGAGGAAGCTACACTTGTGTGGGACGCCTACAGTCCTGCCGCCCACCCACCCCCCGCTCCTATACACATAGCAAAGTCCTACATACAGCCTGTGGGAAAGGAAAGGGGGCATCTTGAGATTCAGGGCTGAACCTTGCCATGGTGTCCCCCGCTCTCTTTTTAAGACCAGCATCTCCATCTTAGGGGGGAGGGGGATCTTAGCTTAAGGCACCCTTGCAAACGGTGGGGAAAGGAAAGGGGTCCAGATTGCATCCTCACTAGGCTGGAGTCGGATCGGCAAGGCAGGGCCGCCACCTCCTCACCCGGCACGCCTTCACTTTCGCTTACTAGAGAAAGCCCCTTGGAGAGAGTCAATTTTTGCACGGAAGGGAGTGAAGACCCAACCGCCCCAGCCTTTGTTTGAGGGGGAGAAGGCGAGAGAGAGAAGGAGAGGAGGAGGCTGCCCTGAGGCGGCCGCCTGGGGGGGGGGGGGGGGGGGGGGGGGGGGGGGGGGGGTCGGGGGTTGCACCCCATCTCTCTCCGGCGGCTCCTGCCCTTCTCGCCTCCCCGGCGACCTCCAAGGCACTCGGCTCCCCTCTCTGCGCGTTACACCCAAGGTGGGAGCCACGGATGCCCCTTCCTCACAAGCGCTCCTGCCGCCGCCTTCTCTCCCCCCCCGCACACACACACCCTCCGCGCCGGCTTTTTCGCTCCCTTGGACCCCGCAGGGGCGCGACGCAGGCTCCGACCCGTTCCCGCGGCCCCCCTCCCCCTTTCCCAGCCTTCCTTGCACCCGCTCGCCCCGGAGCCTATTTTTAAAAGCAACTTTGCCCAACTTTTCCGGGGTCTGCAGCCCGTCACTTGGCAGCCTCCCCCCACTCCCCCACCACCGGCGAAAGCCGAGGCTTCCCTCTCGTCCCCCCCGCCCGGCCCCGGCCCGGGGCCGCCCCCCCCCCCCCGCCCCCACCGCCCCGGTCTCCCCTCCGGGGGCATCCGAAGGGAGTCGAGCACCCACCGCAGCCTGGGCGTCCCAAGCGCCGAGTCCCAGGGCGAGCAGCAAGAGGAGGCGACGGGCGCCCGGGCTCAGCTTCATCCTCCACCTCCTCCAGGAGCCCCGCAGCCTCGCCGGAGCTGAGCCAGCCTTCGCCCACCTTCCCCCCAAAAAAAGGGAAGGGGAAAAAAAAAAGTCAAAGCTGAGGAGGATGAAGTGGGCAAGGACTCTCTGGGCAGGGCAGGGCCAGGCGAAGCGGCTCTAGGCGCCCGCCTCCTCCTCCTCCTCCTCCGCGCCCGCCTCCGCCCCCGCCTTTCCCGGCTGGGTGCGCGGTCGCGGCCCGACCTCCCTCTCTCCGCGCCCCCCCTCCTCTATCTCTCTCTCTCTGGGGACTACTTTGTCTGCCTCTCGCCGCCCGGCCTCGGCCCGGATCCATGCGCCTGCCGGCCGGCTTGCCCTCCTCACCGCTGGCGGATGGGGTTTGTAGTCCCGCGGCTTAAGTTCAGGGGCGTATAAGGCGTTTATTGGGCCGCCAAGCTCCGAAATCCGGCTCGATTTAAAAAAAAGGAAGGGAAAAAAAAACTTTTCTCCTGCTCCCCCCCCACTTTGTTTCTTCGTTGCGCGAAGCCGGGGTTTAGCCCAGGGCTAAGCTGCCATGCCCGCGGGGCTCGTGCGTTGAATTGGGGTTTAAGAGCAGAGGTCTCCAACCTTGGCCGCTTTAAAGCCTGGCGGACTTCAACTCCCAGAATTCCCCAGCAGCTGGGGAATTCTGGGAGTTGAAGTCCTCCAGGCTTAAAGTTGCCAAGGTTGGAGACCCCTGGTTTAGAGGGTTTTGAGCGCAGTTTACGGGGCTCGGGAGGCCTTCTGGCCTTCCTTACTTCCTTTTTGGCAGAGGAGGGGGATAGTCAATTCTGCACCAGGAGAACTTGGGAGGCATAAAAGTTGCTTTTCTGCGCAAAGTTCTCCTCTGAGGAGAAACGGGTCATATCCCCCCCTCCCCCTTCCGACGACCCAGGCGTCCGCGCTTAAGGAACCCGTGCATGATTCTCGCTTTATTTTACACGGACCTCTTCAGCTGGGTTCCCACAATCCTCTCGTTTGTGGAGGAGCGTTTCGTTAGGGTTCTTTAAGGACAGAATTACACCCCATCTTCGGTAGTCCATTCCCCCCACAATTTCAGATGCAACCAAGAACGGGGCAAGTCTAGAAAGTTTTCCCAGAGGGAACTTTTTAAAATTATTTAATAAATTTTATCAAGGTTGTAGTTTTAAAACTAAAGCATAGTTACAATTCTTTGCAGTACGTTGTGGCATCGGCTTTCCCAAATTCATTGACATACAAAGATACATACATAGATACGTAACAATTTACATGTTACATTATCTTTTGTTCCTGTTACCTAACCAAACATACCATTTCTCCCAGACCGTATAGTATTCTTTTTCTTCCTTCTGCAATTCCATGGTGAGTTTATTCATTTCTGCACAATCCATAATTTTTATTATTTTATTCTCTGTGGGACTACTCTCTGGTTTCCCCGTTTTGAGCATACACCTTATTCTAGCTGCTGTCAGTAGGTGTAATTCTTATGGATTCAATGTCTTTCTTGTAATCACCTCTAATTATCCCTCATAGGAACATTTCAGACTTAAGTTCCATTTTTTTCCCAGAGGGAAATTTTAGGGGTTTTTGCAGCCTCCCAATGTGGGGACCCAGCGCCCTAGAGCGGGGTGGGGTGGGGGGCGATGAGACTGCACCCCAACCGCTGCTGTCTTTCTCAGTCGCTCCGTTTCTGGCGCGTCTCGCTCGCTTCCACCACTTTAAATGTATCTCCCATCATCTGAGGAAACCGGACAGACCCGCCAAAGCGCCAGTTGAATGAAACCAGCCTTTTTCTGGCCCTTGGAGAAGCCCCGAAGACGGGCCCGAGTTTGAAGGCTGACCCCTCCCCCCCTCCCCGAAGAGGCCGGCGGGAGGGGTCGTGCCTGGGGCTGAGAAGACACCCCCCCTCCCCCATAATGTTGGCATTCCCACGAGATCCTCGCCCGTCCTTCCCCCCCCAACCACCTGTTCCCCGGCCAACTAAGTTCGCAAGAGGTGCTGCTCCCCGAGATGGAGAGGCCAAACGTTCGCCAGGGGCCCAGGTGGGACAGCCGGCTCTCTTGACTGAGGGAGAGGGGGGGGGGCTTCCTCGTCTCTGAGGCGCTGCAGGGATTCCAGGCGCCCCCCACCCCACCCCCCGGCCTGGACAAAGCGGCGGGAAGACGAGCCTGAAGGAAAGGGGTGCTAAGGCGCCCCCCCCGCTCAGCTGGCTGCCCTGCCCAAGGCTTGCAGGCACAAGCACGTGTGGACGGACCAAGCCGGAAACGGGCACGCGGGGGTGGGGGGGTGGGGGGAAAGCGGGGGAGGCGAGGCCGAGGCGGCACTGCGGCTGCTTGGAGGGCGGCGGCTCCGCCCTCGTCCCCCGCCCCCCGCCCCCGCGACGCCTCTCGGCCGTGCGGCTTCGGCGCGGAGTGGTCGCCGGGCTCCTGCGGGGCTCTCTCTCTCTCTCTCTCTCTCTCTCTCCCTCTGTTGCTTCGGGAGGGCGGAGACCGCACTTCACGTGTCCTGCCCGCGCGTCCACACGACCGGACCGCCCCCCTCTCCCCCGGGGCGTGGGGTCCGGCCGCGGAAGGGGCTCCAGAGAGCCGCGTTCTCCCCGCGGGCTCCATCCGCCGCCCCGCCGCTCGGCAGAGCCAGCATGTTCGCCGGGTGAGTGCCCAAGTCCAGAGGGAAGCGGGGGGGGGGGGGGGGGGGGGGGGGGGGGTGGCCGGCAGAATATTTGGGGGGTCGCGTCTGCCGTGGGAAAGCGTGACATTTTGACCCCGCTCCCTTTTTTATTTTTTTTATTTTTGGTTTGCAGCGCGCCCCTGTTGCTGGTTGCCCTGAGCCTGGCAGCGCGTCCCGTCTATGGGGTAAGTTCTCCCGAATTACGGGCTGCTCGGGGAGTCCCCTCCAAGCCCCCTCCCCACTTCGGCCCTTGGAGGGCGGGAGGAATCCCTGGGCTCCTCCGGAGGAAGTGGGGCGAGGTGGGTGGCAGGAAGCAAGGAAAGCTTGCCACTTGGAGAAGGTGCCAAGTGGAGATCCTGGGGAAAGTGGCTAGCAGGAGTGCGGGAGGGGGTGGGTGGGCAAGGGCCCAATCCTGCTGCCTGGGGCTGGCTGGACGGTCGCAGACCCCTGCAAACTCCAAAGCAACAGCCTTGTCTATCCGGATGGCGAGGAAATGCACAAACTGGACGGGCTGTTGTTTTCCTGCTGGAGCACATGGACTTGGCTGAGGTCCAGAATGCCTGAGGCCACCTCCTGTCAGTTGTTCCCTTCTTAAGCCTCTACTCCCAAGTAAACTGCAAAAGGAGGTGGCAGGTCTTTTTGTGACCTAATTTGTCCTCTGGAGAGACGTCCATCCTTGCCCTCCCAAGCTCTGTGTTTCCTTCATCCCTGCTTTTTCTCCAGGGCCTAATTTGGCCCTCTGAGCCTCAATGCTCCCTGGAGCACAGTTGGCGAGAGTTGTGATGCTGTGTCCAACACAAACACACTTGCAAAGGTGTCAAGGAGCGAGAACTGAGAATTTAAGATCTCTCCACTTTTCATCCCTTGGTGTTTTCCAAGCCCCAGGCAAAAGGGGGACCCCAAATATCCAAGATTATTTAATATGATTGATTTCCTGCCTCTAAAAGGAAAAGAGACTATAGATAATTCTCAACTTACAGCCATTTGTTTAGTGAATGTTCAAAGTTACAACGGCACTGAAAAAAATGACTTACAACATCCCCATGTGATCAAAATTCAGACACTTGATAACTGACTCTTATTTATGACAGTTACAGTCATGTGACTTTCTAACAATTTTGTGACTTTCTAACAATTAAGAATTAAGAATCACTTAAATGTGCAATAACTTGCTATGTCAGGAATATGCTTTCATTGATTTGTATTTTCTACTAGTTCTCAGGTGAGTTTTGTGAAGGAAACAGAGGTCCCCATTTTAAAAAATCTACTCTCCCTTGAAGGACAGCCATTAAGCAGAGGAATCTGTTAAGTTGCAAAGTTGTTGCTGATTTCTGTGTATCAACCTTATATGAGCTGTGGTGGCGCAGTGGTTAGAGTGCAGTATTGCAGGCTACTTCTGCTGGCTGCTGGCTGCCTGCAATTTCGTAGCTCAAATCTCACCGGGCTCAAGATTGACTCAGCCTTCCATCCTCTCGAGGTGGGCAAAATGAGGACCCAGATGGTTGGGGGCAAGAGGCTGACTCTGTAAACCACTTAGAGAGGGCTGTAAAAGCACTACGAAGAGGTATATAAGTCCAAACGCTATTGCTTTTCCTTTTCCCCTTCTTTCCTTCCATCCTTTTACACTGCACAGTGGTTAGAATGCAGTATTGCAGGATAATTCTGCCCACTGCCAGCAGTTCGATTTCCACCGGCTCAGCCTTCCATCTTTCCGAGGTGGTTAAAATGAGGACCCAGATTGTTGGGGAGCAATAGGCTGGTTCTGTAAACCGCGTAGAGAAAGCTATAAAGCACTGTGAAGTGGTATATAAGTCTAAGTGCTAGTGCTGTGTAGAAATCTTAACTACAACAGTTATAACTTAAGACCACAATTGAGCCCAACGTTTATGCTGTTAAGTGAGAAATTTGTTAAGTGAATTTTGCCCGATTTTATGACTTTTCTTGCCACCTTTGTTAAGTGAATCACTGCAGTTGTTAAATTAGTAACCCGGTTGTTAAATGAATCTGGCTTATCCATTGTCTTTGCTTATCGAAAGGTCACAAAAGGAGATCACATGACCTCAGGACACTGCAACCGTCATAAAGATGAACCAGCTCTCAAGCGTCCAAATGTAAATCACGTGACCCTGGGGATGCTGCCATGGTCAAAAGTGTGAAAAATGGTCATCAGTCACTTTTGTCAGTGCTGTTGTAACTTTGAACGCCCACTAAATGAATTGTAAATCGAGAACTCCCTATACCAAATGAGACTGGAGCAGGTCAACCCTTTAAAAAAAAAAAGGCACCTGTGGCCTACAAGCTCTATTATGAACACGTTTCGTGTAAGATTTTCTTCTAAATAACTAGGACAGGGGTGTCAAACTGACAGCCCGCGGGCTGGATGCACACCCACCCCAGCTCTGCAAATGGGAAAAATGTTGTGAAATATCATGTGACGGCAACGGTTCGACACCTATGAACTAAGACAGGGGTGTTCTGACCCAAACCTTGTTCCAAGGAAACAAAACACAAAATGGAAGTAACAGCAAAACCTTTTAATGATTCTTTACGAATTCTGTCCCTTCACGGTTAAAAGGCTGTTTCCAACTAATGGTCCCTGATAAGAACGAGCCTTGCCAAGGTTGGGCAAGGCTGCCAAGAATACTAGATAAAGTTGCCAAGAAATATTTCAAACACAAAGAGTCTCCGAACAACCAACCAAGATAATCCGAACGTCCTCAAGGCTTGAGTGCAAAAACTTCTTTGCTTCCTGCAAAGAACTCTGGTTTCTCCGCTGGCTGGGGTTAGCTAAAGGTCAAGTATACAGGCAGTCCTTAACTTACGACCACAATTGAGCCCAAAATTTATGTTGCTAAGTGAGAAATTCCTTAAGTGAGTTTTGCTCCATTTTATGACTTTTCTTGCCACATTTGTTAAGAGAATCACTGGCAGTTGTTAAGTTAGTAACATGGTTGTTTAAGTGAATCTGGCTTCCCCATTGACTTTGCTTGTGAGAAGGTCCCCAAAAGGGATCACATGACTTCAGGACACTGCAACCGTCATAAATATGAGTCAGTTGTCAAGCAAATGGATGTAAGTCACCTGTGCATGGTGATACTGCAAGTCATAAGTGTGAAAAATGGTCATAAGTCACTTTTTTCAGTGCCATTGTAACTTTGAATGGCCACTAAATGAACTGTTGTAAGTCGAGGACTATCTGTATTGTCCATATACGTGGGACTTGTGTGGGCAAGTACAGTCTCAGTAACTGAGATTTTCTTCACACATTAACTCTCATTTTCCCCGAAAAGGATCCATTGTCATCAGTGGTGGGATTCAAAATTTTTTACTACCGGTTCTGTGGGCGTAGCTTGGTGGGCGTGGCTTGGTGGGCATGGCATGGTGGGCGTGGCTGGGGAAGGTTACTGCAAAATCCCCATTCCCTCCCCACCCCACTAACCTGCTTTCCAGCTCCGTTCTCCTGTGCAGGGCAACCAAAGAAGATCCAGCCAATCAGCTGGAACTCAGGAGGCAGAGAATAGATGCGGGCGGAGCCAGTCAGAGGTGGGATTTGACGGTTCTCCGAATTACTCAAAATTTCTGTTACCGGTTCTCCAGAACTGATCAGAACCTGCTGAATACCACCTCTGATTGTCATGCTTTTTTTTTAAAAAAAAAAAATCTGGCATAAAACACGATATATGGTACCAAAATGCATGCAACAATGCATGTGGTGTTTTTTTTTTTAAAAAAGTTCAATAACTCCTTTGTGTTTTTTGTCTGTATTCTTACAATCTTCTCCAAAATTATGGGCCAGGAGATTTAACTCGGCATGAAATGACTAGGTCTCCCTTCCATTTAAGGTGTTCAGCCCTCCCGACTGGGCTTGTGGGAAGTTAATTTCTCAGCATCTGGAGGATGGCAGATTTTCTGCTTAGGTTTCATGAAGTCATCACACAAGCGAAGTGTGCAATGACACAATGATGCATGCAATAGTGTGGTGACTCCCTCTTCTCCTCTGGAGAACAATCACTGGATCAGGGGTATCAAACTTGCCTATCGCAACTTTTCCCCCTCTTTGCTAAACCAGATGTGGCCAGCGCATGATGCATTTGGCCAGTGATGGGATTCAGATTTTTTTTACTACCGGTTCTGTGGGTGTGGCTTGGTGGGCGTGGCAGGGGAAGGATACTGTAAAAGCTCCAGTTAGACCTGGTATTGGCCAGTTCTCCAAACTACTCAAAATTTCCGCTACTGGTTCCCTAGAACTGGTCAGAACCTGCTGAATACCACCTCTGCATCCGGCCCATGAGTTTGACAGCCTTGCACTAGATGGTAGAATTACTTTCTGCAAAGGTTACAGTAAACACACTGTACAATTTATTATTGCAACCAGAATATTGCTTGTCTGGTTTTTTAAGCAAAGGCATCATGTGAGTGCACCAATTTTACCACTTTTTTTGCAGCAGTCGTTAAACAAATCACTCAGTTTCCCTATTAACAGTCGAAAGCCAGCTAAGAAGGTCACTGATTTGCGATCCTGTGACTCTACAACTATAGTAAATACATGCCAGCGGCCAAGTGCCCAAATCAGTGGTGGTATTCTACCGGTTCAGTCTGGTTCTGCAGAGCTGACAGCGCCGATGAGCAGCGACGACCAAACCGGTTTTCTCCGCCGCGCTGCTGTTGGGCCCACCTGCCCACCTGGGCTCCTATACTCACCTTTATTACCTGCTTTTTAAGCATAGCTGCTTTGCGCAGCACATAGGAGTGCTGCGCGGCAGCTGCTGAAGCAACTGAGAGAGTGCAGGCTTGCAGGATGTGAGTTGGAATGCTTCTCCGCCTGTGCAAAGCACGCCCACCTTGTCACGCCCACCAAGCTGGTGGTAGACAATTTTGAAACACACCATTGGCCCAAATACTGATCATGTGACTGTGGGGAATGTGAGGATGTATCACTATGTTTCAGTTCTGTTATCGCTTTGAACGGATGCTGAATGAATGGTTGTAAATCCAAGACTAACTGTAGGGGGTTTCCTATATCAAGCACTTTGATTTGGACTGCAGTGTGTCACCAACTGGATTGTGCTAGTCATCCATTCAGGAAGCTGTGACCAACTAACTGGGGTTGCAATCTGTTGGGCAGTTTGTGTGTACGCATACAAGTGTTAATATGTTACAAATGAGCTACAGCATTTTATTTCCT